ATGGGGCTCTCCTCCAGTTCGTGCTGGAACGCCCAGGCCGTGTAGAGACGGAAACATTTCCCGGGAGCCACGCGGCCAGCGCGGCCTGCGCGCTGATTGGCTGAGGCCTGAGGGGACAGGGGACACTGTGACACACCTGGGGACAGCTGTGACACACCTGGGATTGTCACCTGTGACACACCTGGGACATGGCACTGTCACCTGTCACACACCACGCGGCCTGCGCGGCCTGCGCGCTGATTGGCTGAGGCCTGAGGGGACAGGGGACACTGTGACACACCTGTGATATGGCATTGTCACCTGTGACACACCTGGGGACACCTGGGATTGTCACCTGTCACACATCACATGGCCAGCGCGGCCTGCACGCTGATTGGCTGAGGCCTGGGGGGACAGGGGACACACCTGTGACACACCTGTGATATGGCATTGTCACCTGGGACACACCTGGGACATGGCATTGTTACCTGTGACACCTGGGATTGTCACCTGTCACACACCATGCGGCCAGCGCGGCCTGCGCGCTGATTGGCTGAGGCCTGAGGGGACAAGGGACACCAGAGTGACACTGTGACACACCTGGGGACACACCTGGGGACACACCTGGGGACACCTGGCATTGTCACCTGTCACACACCACGCGGCCAGCACGGCCTGCGCGCTGATTGGCTGAGGCCTGGGGACAGGGACACACCCGTGACACACCTGGGGACACCTGGGGACACACCTGGGGACACAAGGACCAAGGGACGTGGGGACCTGGGATGACCATGAGGGACTTCGTGCTGGGGACGGGGAGTGACACAGATGACACAGGTGACACTAGGGTGACACTGAGGTGACACAGGTGACACACAGGTGACATTACCCGTGAGCAGGGTGTCACCACCAGGGACTCCATGCCGGTGCGGGGTTACCATGGGTGACCACAGGGTGACAATGGAGCACAGTAGGGTGACACAGGTGACACACAGGTGACACAGGTGACACACAGGTGACAATAGGGTGACATTACCTGTGAGCAGGGTGTCACCACCAGGGACTCCATGCCGGTGCGGGGTTACCATGGGTGACCATAGGATGACAATGGATGACAGTAGGGTGACACAGGTGACACAGGTGACACTGAGGTGACACAGGTGACACACAGGTGACATTACCCGTGAGCACGGTGTCACCACCAGGGACTCCATGCCGGTGCGGGGTTACCATGGGGTGATGACAGGTGACAGTAGGGTGACACAGGTGACACTGAGGTGACACTGAGGTGACACAGGTGACACTGAGGTGACACAGGTGACACACAGGTGACATTACCCTGGAACACGGTGTCACCACCAGGGACTCCATGCCGGTGCGGGGATATCATAGGATGACAATGGATGACAGTAGGGTGACACAGGTGACACTGAGGTGACACAGGTGACACTGAGGTGACACTGAGGTGACAGAGGTGACACACAGGTGACATTACCCGTGAGCAGGGTGTCACCACCAGGGACTCCATGCCGGTGCGGGGTTACCATGGGTGACCATAGGGTGACAATGGAGCACAGACAGGTGACAATGGGTGACCATAGGGTGACACTGAGGTGACACAGGTGACAATAGGGTGACATTACCCTGGAACACGGTGTCACCACCAGGGACTCCATGCCGGTGCGGGGTTACCATGGGGTGACAATAGGGTGACACAGGTGACAATAGGGTGACAATGGATGACAATAGGGTGACACAGGTGACACTGAGGTGACATTACCCTGGAACACGGTGTCACCACCAGGGACTCCATGCCGGTGCGGGCGCTGTAGCTTTTCTGTTTGCAGAACCCCGGGTCCAGCACGTAGACGATGCCATCGATTGTCACCGACGTCTCCGCGATGTTGGTGGCCACCACCACCTGTCCGGGGGGAGGGGACGTTGGGACACGCCCACTGGGA